AGGTTGCGTCAGTTCTCCATCTGGCCTAGGGGTAGAGCGGGAGCGAGAATGTCAAAATTGCGAGCATACCATTGTCCCATGCATCGATGGTAGCAAGAGTCTCCTTGTGCTGCTCAATCAGATCGGCGAGCTTGTACATGAGGGCGCCACGATCCGTGGCCGAGATGCCCTTCCAGGACTCGTGTCTCAGCGCTGCGTGTGCGGCCTTGACGGCATTGTCAATGTCTTCGACCTCAGCAGCCTGGACGGATGCAATCTTTTCTTCGGTGCTGGGAGGTGAGGTTGTCAGTGTCTTCGTCCAGAGCAGGAGGGAATCGCATGTGATGCACAGGGAGAATGAGGGATGAGGGATTGAGTAACAACTCACGCAGGGTCTATCGAGTCAATGAGCTCGCCCTTGGCAGATTTGACAAACTCATTGTTGATGAAAAGGCCGGTGGGCTGGGTGTACTTGACGCCGTTGGGGGCCGTCAGCTCAACAGAGAGATCGGACATTGCGGCGATGTTGTTGACAATGTTTGACTGGCGATGGTGAGGGGTCGATGAGAAGAAGCGACGCGCCGCTGGGTGTCTTTGGCGTGGTCTTTTCGCGTGAGGGTCGAGGTTGAGGTGGCGTTGTCGGATCAGGGGGGTATCACAGAATCGAGACCGACAAGGAAATGAACAAGTTGAAAGAAGGGGTTTGGCAAGTGAAGAGGAATTGCGAGCGATGCGCAGGCGAAGGGGAGGAGAGGAGAGCATCTTTTTCTATTTGCTCCAGCTTCTGGTGTGCGAATGCGCCGGCGGCCATTGGAAGGAAGGCCGACGATAGGAGCTTTCGAATTGGAGGGGTCGTTGATGGGTGGATTGTGTGGATGTGGGCAGTCAGCGTAGCACAGCAGATCGGAGCGAGCTTCCAGTCCAATCGAAGCTCAGTGTAGCTACTCCGCATTCACTTACTGCATTCGGCCCAAGGGGGGGGGGGGTGGGGGGATGTTTGGAATGGGGGCATCCACGGATGGAGCCTGGCATCTCGGATGGTGTTGGAACTTGGAGCTTTGGAGGAAGAGGCTGGAGCATCGAGCATGAAATTGAAGCCCCCACGGCGGGGATGCCTGACGTGCGGAACCGCTCTGCCGTGTTTTTCCCATCGGCGATAAGACATCTGTGGAGTGCTACGGAGTAAAGAACCACTGAATGGCGCACAACGCGGGGATTGAGTCGTGGACTTTTCGGGGATGCACAAGTATATCAACCAAGACCTCTATCCAAGTCATACCTCTTGTCGCCGAAACCTCAGATACCCCGGCTTTTAAGCTTTCTTGAACATCATGTGCCGGACAAAAGGGATTCAATCTACGGATCCTCAACACTGGAATAAGGCTGAAGAGGCACAGGGTCCAGGGGGCACGTTGCGACTTTCGGCTTTTACCAACGAGCCCAATTCCCTCTGTCCGATAAGTGCGATGTTCAAGACTCTTCACAGTGATTTTGGCCTTCTCGCCGACAGGTCAGCAGCAACAGCGGTCATAGCTGAAGAACAAGTCTCAATGATCTGTTAGTGATTCGCCCGAGGATACAACCTCCAATGTTTTTGTCATGGAATACACCCGTTATGTAATCACCCAGAAACTCGCTCGACAATCGCATGCAAAAGATGCCAAATTTTTACCGTAAACGCACAAGCTCGACTTTGCGTGCTTGGAGAAATGGGTGGGTCCCGTCTAACCGGGCCGGCCCCGCCCCGCCGTACCCAGGGGATTAGCTCCGTCCGGCCCGGTCAGGACGCAGAAGAATAATCACGGATAGAATAGAAACCACAATGACAAACACAAAACCCATACCGAGTAAGGATCAGAGTGATACTTGGACTTCCTGCGCCGCCGGCCTGATGTACTATGCCCCCGCACTTACTAGATATGAGGTACTGATATTGAGGAGACGAGTAGGTTTGTCTTCGGGTCCGGGCTACGGGCCCACCTCTCGGCCGCCTGCTTCCCTGCAGTCTTCTCGCGAGCCTCCATCCCGTCACCTATGGGGAGCATGTGCATTGTCTGCAGAGATATCTGTGGCTACGATCTGTTGGAGTGTGTATCTCAAGTGCTGTGGCGCGGAAGAGACGTAAGGGTTAGCAGGCATACCTGTCATGAAAGCAAGAGCACTTGAAGAGCCCAGAGGCGCAAACCTGAAGAGGACTATTGTTCCTGCTTGCGAACATGTAATTAAACTTGTTGTATTTCCATCAAGCACATACTTGTGAAGCATAAAATCTACGGCTACTTGGTAGCTATTCTAGAAAGTCCAATTCTTCCGCCCGCCTGATTCCATGATATCTACTCTATTCTTCGTAAATGTTGGAGTCACTGTCAAGGTTAGCCCACATTCGTTTCTTCCATAGAGTTATGAATACTCACAATTCTTCGTTGAACTTGTCCCTGCCGTCAGCATTCTTGTTGACAAAGATGCTCACCGAGGTACCAGAGCACACGAACTCGCCAAAGCCGTCGTCGCCAATGGTAACCTCCCTGTCGTTCCAGCCCAAAACATCGGTCCAGACCTCGCCGGCGTGCATCTCACCAACATGCATACGCTTAGATCCCGGTCCGGCGTTGCTAGCCACCACGGCGCAGCCGTAGGGGCGGTCCCAGGTACCGTACTTGACCCAGCCCAGGCACGTCGCGTAGTCAAAGTAGTCGGCCTGCTTGCCATATGCGTAGAGCTTTCTAGCCAGCGTCATCTTGGGCACGGCCCCGCCGCACGAGGGCGGGAAGGGGTGCTCGCCTTTGATGCCGTAAATGTCGCCGTACCAGACGCAGGGGTATCCGTCGGTGCGAAGGAGAATGAGGGCGTACGCGATGGGCTTGAACCAGCCCTCGATTGGGGCCTCCAGGGCCTGGTAGGGTTGCGTGTCGTGGTTCATGACCAAGGTCTGCGTGCCATTAGATTAGGTCAATGTAATAGGAGTAAAGGGAGGATGCTGGTGATGCGTACCACTGCGTTGATGGGCTCCTTCTGCACCAGAGTGCCGTCAAAGACCTTTCTCATGTCGGCGCCGTTGCCCTTGCTGATCTCGCTAAAGTTGTACACCAGAGGCGCATCGAAGAGGGTGAACTGCCTGCCCATGCGCTGCAGGTACTCGGACATGTCGTCGAGACTGTCCTTCCAGAACTCGCCGACAAAGAACCAGCCCTTGCCGTACTCCTTATCCAGCTCGGTGATGAATTGACGCAAAAAGTCCTCACTATAGTGCTTGATGGCGTCGAAACGGATGCCCTGGAGCGGCACCTCCTGGGCCAGCCACTTGCCCCAGTTGAGGACATCCTTGACAACCTCGGGGTGGTCGTAGTCGAGATCAGAACCCATCAGGAAGTCGCTACACATCATTAGCATGGTCTATGATCCAGCCAACGGGATGCCTGATCTTACTAGTTTCCCTTCTCGTCATCGACGCTCTCCGCCCATTGCTGGTCGCCCTTGTCGCCCAAGATCTTGTAGATTGCCGTCTTCTCGTTCCTGGCATTGTAGTCGACACCACTGAAGTGGTACCAGTGGTACTTCTGTTCGCTGTACTTGCCCTTGCGACCGGGGAAGTCGTAGCCGACCCAAGCGTCAATCTCGTACTTGTCGCTGACGAACTTTGTGCGGTCGTCGGAGTCAACCTCAGCGGCGAGACACTTCTCCTTGCGGTCGGCCGCGAACTTGTGGTTGAGGACGGCGTCCCAGTAGATGCCGACGCCATTGTCCTTGGCGGTGTGCGCCAGCTTCAAAAGCTCCTCCTTTGTGCCCCATTTTGTTGCTACGGATCCCTTCTGGTCAAACTCGCCCAAGTCGTAGCTTTTAGGATGATTAGCAAGATGCGCCGGTTCGGGAGGAAATGAGTCGCAATACGTACAGATCGTAGATGTCGTAGCCATTTCCAGTCTTTGATGATCCCTTGCACCTAGATTTGAGAGTCAATTGGGCTGACCTTGATCTTCGCGATTCAATTGAGCTTCGTCTTACGCTGGCGGGATCCAGATGTTATCCACACCGAATCGCTTGAGCTGGGGAACATGCTTCTCGAGGCGGACCCAGTGCTTCTGATCCGCAGGCACATACCACTCGAAGCCCTGCATCATCGTGTGGTTCTCGGGGGTCGGTTCCTGGTCTCCCATGATGGGCGATTGTGCCGTTGCGGCTGACGGCTTCCGGAGAAGTGAATGGAGGGGTTTGGAGGGGTCGAGGAGGGGTAGAACAAGGATGAATTGGCGTTCAGGAATTTGGGGAAGAGGAAAGATTGAGAAAAGAGAAGAGAGGAGGGATCGGAACAAGACGTCAGGCTGTCGATGAAGAGGTAACTTCCAAACTATATAAGTAGTAATACGTCCTGAATTGCCGACCGCCGAGCTACAGCATGCACGCACCGACTTCTCCTGTCGGTTGGTTCACCAACAGGATCTTACGACGCATCGTAGCTGCTGCGCTGCTCCTCATGCAACACAAAACGCAGGTTGACGCGGCGACTGCGAGCAAATCAAATCGTCGGATCGCGGCATTCCACACAGTAGCTTGAACGCATGGCCAGACACAGAACGACATGCGCTTTCTGCGACAACAAAGGGCCCCTAACCTGGAAAATGGCGCGACGCTAGCAGGATGCCATCAATCCATGAATCCATGGACGGCTGGCCCGTCGATTCTGTTGGGACTGGCGTCGAATCGCAGCGGAATTCCAGGCGTCTTCTGCCTTGGATTTTCCAACTTGACAGGGAAGTTTGACGTCATGCCGCAGCTGGTGTCCCAGATAAGCCCGCAGGAGCCCGGCGCTTGCGTTCAATTGCTTTGTGTTTGAAAAGGTCTAGACCATCCTGCCTGGAACTTTTCTGAGTTTAATGGGCGGTAGAAAAAAAGCCACTAGAGCTTTTGCTGACCACTCATACCGTGGTGAGCTTCGGTGACGGCTCGAGGTCTGTGCCCTCACCTTGATCGGAGGCAACTCCGGTCTGTGGTCAACATATTCCAGCTAGCGATTGTTTAACCCCTCATCGTCGACCATTCCCATTATATGCAACAAGATTAGGACTGCCAACTCCAGGATCGGCAACTATGCCCCTGGTAGCAAGCTCCTTGATGCGTGCGCCGATCGCCGCCGATGCGTCAACGACAGAGCCCTCCAGTCCCTTGAGATACAACGCCAACCCGGAAATGTGTGGTGTTGACATTGACGTTCCCAGCGAACGCGGCGCGGCAGCTCCTTGTGCAACAAGAGAGGCGATGGCGATGCCAAAAATACAAACTCCTTTCATCTTGAAGCTCTTGAAGATTGTTGATAGCAGAACTTGGACCAATATCCAGAACGAAAGCTCAAAACATGAAGCATCGACAACTATACAGTGGTGCAGGATCGGGGGTTTTGGTCATTTAATGCTCCTCTTCTTCAGTGATGTTTGTCGCATCCTGCCATAACCCTCGATCTTCGCGTCAGGCATTTCAAATCTTAGCAAGCTCTATTACGAGCTGTTCTCATATGCACGGCCGTCGAGCTGCTCTTCGTGGAAGCCATGCCGCGCAGAGGGTATTGGTGCCAGGTTCTGTGAGTGGGGGAACATAATGCCAAGTGCTTGAAGCGGAAGGTGTCCGTTTGACGACCGGGATAGAATGCAACTTTGGAAGTTCGTCTCGCAACCATAGGTCTTACGCGAACAGCTCCAAGACATCATTAGAGTAAATAAGGCTCACGATTGTGGAAACTGCCCAAGCTTTGATCCTGACAGAAAGAAATCGAGTAGACTTCGCACCCTTCCGTCACCTTCGGGACCTTTTTTTCTCATGGAAGGTAAGATTATTGGTCCGGTCTCAACCAGCAGGTTTCTCGAAACATCACAACAGGGTATAAGGTCCCCCAAGCTCGCTTTGGTCTGGAATGATGTGTGAATAAGCACTAGTTATCCTCCTAAGAATGGGAAAACGTTCGCTCAAGGCTTGGGATAGATCATGCCGTGTTTAATCGTGTGTGAGCATTAGTTAGTCTTATTGGACTCAGAGGTCAGCAATTGGCCTTATGTGATTAAATACTCCAAGACGATAATTGGTAATGTGGAAACATGGGATGTGTGAAGAGAACGAGTTGACCCAAACTCACCTGAGGCAAAGCAATGCCCTTCCAGGACAAGTGCACGAGTCACGTCGTGGCTTCTTCTTAAGCCCTTCTTTGAAATTAAGCAGTGTGTATATCTATATGGAAGTATGAACCTTTTCATTGTCGTTGGAAGGAGATGATATTTGACGGGTATCGACGGCCTGGTAGGCGCATACATACTCCAAGAGCTCAAGTGACTGGCCTCGAAACTGACTAACATCATCCGCCTTCATGTAAATGCAAAGATAAGATCGGATCTTCACCGAAAGACACCATTCCTCGGTCTGTAATCCGACAGCAAGCAAGATCGGCCAAGGATTTCGATGTAGGTAGTGCTAAAACAGACCAAAGACACTTGGGTCGAATGCTCGGACCTGGGCTCCGAAAGCGGGCTTCTTAGATCTGTTAGAGTGCGGAGTGGGCCCCGGGCGGATCATCCGAGAGATGCTTATCAGCCATTCTCGGATTGCGGGCCGGCATCGCTGCACCGCATCAGCGTTCGAGCAGAAAGAGGATTGAGGTTGTAAGTAAAAGGCATGGTTCCGTCGATTCGAGCTTAGATTGAAGCTTATCTTTTGTCCACATCGTTGATAGGCGATGAGCCATTATCCTCCGCCGGCGATGTTGGCCTCACGGCATCGCCGCACTACGTCGGGTCGCAAGCCGACGAAGGAGGCAAAAATGCGTTTCATGACTTCGAGGAGCCAGACATAAAGGCCGGTAAACGATGGAAGAAAATAAGATGAGTGAATACTGATGAGAATATCAACCTTGATTCGAATCATCATCACGATACCTCGTTTGGCTTGACTTTAAAGCCACTTTATCACCTACCTACGTAGACCCTACACACACAATAACTCACACAATATGCAGAAAATCAAGCCTGTCGGCTGGGTGAGTGGACTGAAGAGCAAAGCCTTTAGTTTGCTGGAGTAATATACTAACTAAGAAGCAGTTCGGCCTTGGATCCATGGGTTTGCCCATGGCCATCAACCTGCAAAAGAAGCTTCAATCTCACGGCGCCAACCTGACATTCTCAAACCGCACTGTATCAAAGGGAGCCGCTCTAGTAGAAGCAGGAGCTGTTGCAAAGAATAACATCGTAGAGGTCGCGCAAATATGCGACGATATTTTCATCATGGTCAGTCTCGACATGATACATCACCTTATCTGAAAGTTCTGCCTTGGGCAATGCCTTCTGACTATCCCAACAGGTCTCGGCAGACGCGGTTCTTCAATCGTTAGTCAAGGAACTCCTCACAAGCGGCATCGACCTCAAGGGCAAGACATTCATTGACTGCTCCACAATACACCCCGACACGGCGGGCTCCGTATCGGAAACCCTGCAAAAGGCCGGCGCCACCTTTATCGCTGCGCCCGTCTTTGGCGCCAACCCGGTCGCTCAGGCCGGAAGGCTCATCTTCGCCATGGCCGGCCCCATGGCAGCTATCGAACGCCTTGAGCCCCTGATTGTCGATGTGATGGGCAGGAAAGTCATCAACATGGGCGAGGATGTCAAGAAAGCCCCCATGCTAAAGGTGACAGGGTATGTGGCATAAAAAAGCATGCATGACTCTACGATGATCGCTGACAGGGCATTTTGCAGGAACGTGCTTCTCGTTGTCTTCCTCGAGGCTATTGCCGAGACGCAGGTGTTGGCGGAACAGAACGGTATTGGCAGCAACGTGATGGAAGATCTCATCTTTGAGAACTTTGGACCGGTATTGGGGAGCTATTCGCGCAGGATGACCAGCGGATCATGGGCTCCCAAGGAGGGAACGGCTGGATTCCTTGTGTCCAACACCATCAAGGACGCGAAACATGCGCTACGAGTCGCCAACGACCTTGGCGTCAGGATGCCGGCGTTGGACATTGCGACAAACAACATGCTCAGCGCAAGGGCGTACGGTGGCGAGAACCTAGATGGTGCGGCTCTTTATGGAACTCTCAGGTCCCAGTCCGGTCTTCCCTTCTGGTCCGAAAACAGTCGTCAAGAGTGAGGAGTCGGGTTGAAATTCGTGTTGGAGTGTTGATGATTAGAAGTCATAGACGGGAGCAGATCCTTGGAAGCATAATAATTGCCACGCATGCAGCGCATGGGTTATGATACACGCAGATAGATCACGACAATAGACAAATAACTAAGACTTCCGGGCGGCCTTTTCGATGGTGAGAAACCGAGGCTATAGTCGCATAGGTAAACCATCTTCACCGCACAAGTACACAAATAGCCTTATTGCTTGTGGGTAGAGGCTAGCCATGTCTCTACTGGCCCCGGCTCTCCCAACATGCTAGGGGTAAAACTGAACTTCAGCTTTGTGACCAGACAAAATTACTCTGTAATTTGTGAAGTTTAGAGGGAAAAAATCTCACGAGATACTTTCCCTAACAACAAGACTTTCAGCGTGGAATAAACCTCGAACGAATTTCACCATGCTTCAATCAAATTGCGAAATCGGCACTGCTCAATATAAAAGCAGCGCTCGCCTCCCGAACAAAGTTGCCAAGGCGCAATACCAAGACTACCAAGCAACCGCTAAATACTGCCTGTAGTCTTGTCATTGCAGACTTATCGCAGAAAAAAGCACGTCTTTCTCTTGGTAAATCGCATCATCATCCCGGTATCCCTCCCAATTGCTCTTTTGTCGCTTCTTCTCGTAGCCATCCTCGGGGTTCGAACAGTTCATTCGCTGTCAACAAGGAGCGAACACTGCCACGGCCAAGCACTACCAAGAACACAATTTTGAGGGAATCAGCTGTGATATGGATTTGGCTGGGAATTGCAGTGATGTCTACGGAAACATCATTGGCATCTTGCCATGAAGTGTCGAGCTATCAGTGTTGAGCATACTTGCCAATGTCTTGCCCCTGTTTTTCGTCATTGTTGCCAAATGACCGGGTAGAAGGGATCGAATATCGCGCAAAGTATCTGTCAACCACGGATGGAATATCCAGGCGCGTAAGGCACGAATAATACGCCAACAGTTTCACGCCAATGACTCCATAGTCGTGTTCACTATAGTCAATCTGGACATGTCTATCCTCAAATATCCTGTCCTCGGCCCCCTTGCTTCCGATTTCGAAAAGAGGATTCTTTGCACGAGCTGAGACTGCACGAGAAATCACCTCTTTCGAAAAGCCTATGTGTGCACCTAAGAATGTCCGAGAAGCAAATCGTCGAGCAATCCTCGGCCTCGGCCTCAGAGCCCGAGAGCAAGAAAGACAACGACACGATCAATCTGGAGGCGACAGACGAGGAGATCGAGCAAACGAAGAATCGCATCCTCCGCGAGCAAGCAGACCTTCGCCAGCAGGATGCTCCCATAATCCCCATTCTGTCCTTCTTCAAGAAGAAGAATGGGTATGATCCCAGTGCGATAGCGACACAGCCATCTGTCTACGACCATCCTTCCACTGCGAAGTTCTTCCAGCCACATCCAAAGTATGAGAATCTGCATCGCTTTGATCCGACATTCCGATGGAGCTGGGGCGAGGAGCTGCCCCTGATAACAAAGATGGATTGGCGCGTCACACTATGGGCGTGTCTCGGTACGTGTTACATGGTGTATTAACTCCAATGCTTAGATCTAACGTTACCACAGCATTCTTCGCTCTCGACCTGCCTCGAGGTAATCTAAGTCAAGCAAACTCGGCCTCTTTCCTCGAGAACCTTGGCATGAACACCAACGACTACAACCTCGGCAACACAGTCTTCCAAATATCTTTCCTCTGCGCAGAGTTGCCGTCCCAGATGGTCAGCAAGAAGCTCGGCCCGGACCGCTGGATTCCATTCATCATGTGTTCCTGGAGTTTGGTGTCGGGATGTCAATTCTGGCTTAGTGGTCGAACCTCCTTCCTTGTGTGTCGTGCACTCCTAGGCGTCCTTCAGGGCGGCTTCATTCCCGACGTGGTCTTGTACTTGACGTACTTCTTCAAGTCGACCGAGCTCCCCTTTCGACTTGCCATGTTCTGGACAGTTCGTCGAATCACGGATATCGTCGCACCCCTATTAGCGCTTGGTGTCCTTCGCATGGATGGGATCAACGGCTACGAGGGCTGGAGATGGCTCTTCCTGATTGAAGGGATCATTACACTGTCAATCAGTGTCTGGTCCTGGTTCGCAATGGCGGCTTCACCAACGCAAACAAAGGCTTGGTGGCGACCCAACGGATGGTTCAACGAACAGGAAGAGAAGATCCTGGTCAATCGAATCCTTCGCGACGACCCCTCGAAATGCGATATGCACAATCGGCAGGCAATCACCCCCAAGCTGCTTCTCAAATCTCTCGCTGACTGGGAGCTTTGGCCCATCTACATCTTTGGTCTTCTCTGGGAAATTCCAGCCGGCCCTCCCGACCAATATCTCACACTGACTCTCCGCAACCTTGGATTCAACACGAACGATACTAATTTGCTGAGTATCCCACCTCAGTTCTTGGGAGCTATTTTCATGTTGATCATGACATATCTGTCCGAGATATGGGACACGAGAGCATTGTTTGGTGCCTTCACGCAGCTGTGGTACCTTCCGAATCTCATAGCTATGGCCGTCCTCCCGGCAGATGCTAGTCCCTGGGCCCAGTACGCTGTTGTCACTGTTCTCCTGTCCTATCCATCGCGTAAGTCTCGGTCCTATTGAGAACCAAGAAGTGACTTGATCTGACGTTGCTAGCCCATGCCATGCACGTCTCTTGGGCGTCTCGAAATTCTCACTCTGTTCGTACCAGAGCCGTTTCCGCGGCTTTGTATAAGTAAGTCAGCACCAAATTCTGCTAGGTTACGAATGTCTAGCTGATGGGTCTACGTTGCCAGCATGATGGTTCAGCTTGCTCGCGTCATCTACTCGAATATTTACCGGGAAGACGATAGACCAGAATGTGAGTGCCGTGGCATAGCTTCATACCTGTCGTGGAAGGCTGACAAGATCTGCAATAATGAAGACCGACGTGGCAACCGGGTTTTGATCGGAATATGCTGCATGAACATCTGCGTTTATCTAATCGCTAAGGCATTCTATATGTGGTGTAACAATAAAAGAGAAAAGGAATGGAATGCAATGACGGAAGAGGTAAGCTTCCTAACAGTCCCCTGTAAGGTCCATTGCTAACGGTGGCCTCCAGGAGAGGATTCACTACCTCGAGACGACGAAAGACGAGGGCAGTAACCGTAAGGATATTCGCTTCAAGCACTAGGCCATATCAGCCTCTGGGAGTTAGAAGTTCTCCTTCGATGTTTCGGGGATCATGTCAGCATCAAAGTCGTCCCTGTTTCCTCCACTACCGTACGCCATTGGCTCGTCACACGACCATCAGACGAGGGCCCCCGTTTCCACGCTTCATACACAACTTGAGTTCCTGTTCTCACCGCTTTGATGCCGTAAACCGCAACTTTAGTATACCATTGGCGAAAACGGTCTTGGAGACGCTGATCATGAGCTTCCGTTGCCGCCATGAAAGCCGGCCAGAAGAGGGGTGCAGCAAGTAGCTTGCTCTCGGCCTTGATGTTCTCGATTGTCTCAATGTCATGTAGAACCTCTGTCACATACTGGCGGAGATACCTATGGCTGAGTAGTCTGACATTCTGGGAGAAGTAAATAATGAGAGCGTTGTGAAATGAATGTGTTTGGTAATAGATGATCTCAAAGCTCGTGCCAATGTCGGCATCTCGATACCGAGTGAGTTCCAAGTCGAGTGGCCAGTCGAAGATATCTCTCTCAATATCATCGCACATTCTGCCCAAATCTTTTGGTATCGATGTGATGCTGTGATTCTTCCTCGCCGCATCGACTCTATCAATCAGATCAATGGTTCTTTGAAGCAAAACGAGTAAGCTCTGTGGAATTCCATAGATACATTCATATGATGCCATCTTGCTTGCTGCCTGTACAGGCTCAGAGCACGAAGATATTGCATCCTCGTCTGGGAAAGGGAAAGTACTGGTGGAGACTTGTTGGCCTGGAGAATGGGGCATATGAAGAACACGTTCTCCGGAAGATGGCGAAAAGCGACATGTGGGACTTCGTAGGGGAGCGGTACTTTCGTAAATAACTCGAAGGTAATAGTAGATCCTATGCAGAGCTCGAGACTTTGAAGACAGCCTAGGCTTTCCCTTCCCCATGTGGATGATCAACTGTTGAGCGCCGTCTAGATGAACACCACAAGTGCTTGTGTCTCCTGACATAACCTAGCCTAGGTGTCAATGAGATACAGAGAGACTTGATCGACTTTGAGCAAGGTCTAAAGAGAATACAGGGGATATGACGTGTACCGATAGGTGATCATAAGCTTCAATCCCCATGCAGAGGTGGTGCGATACTCTTGTATGCTTGCCCCGAGACAACGGAACGAAATTATAGCTTACGTTTATTGTTATCATTGACAACATTGTTGCTAGAAACTCCTTATACTTCGGTCTTTCTGGCGCGTGGAGGTCAACTTCTACCGCTTGTTTGAGTAATCCAATGGCGTTATAACGATAGAGAGTGGCTGCCTCCACCCACTTCAACTTCACTTCCAGCCTATTTTCTGATACCTGAACGTTTGAGAGGTAGTAGGCACTTATAGAGAGCAGCGCGTTTCGCAGGGCATTGCGGATCCTAGATGTTGCGCCCATCACACTCAGCTCACCGGCACCCTGAATAGCTCGAGGCAGATGTATCGTCTTCCAAGGACTCTTTGCATTGTCGATGACACAAAATATGTTGACGACTCTATGCATGTAGTGATGCATGAGAAATCGCTCTCTCTCAGAGATGACTGCCATCGGTGGCCTTGGAAGTTCCGTGGAGACGCTTATCCCGGGCCAACGCTGATGTCTTGATGAAGAAGACGAGACTCTGTCAGCGGCTCCCTTGTTTTGAAGGTTGTCTGAATGGTCTTCGGCAAAGCCTGGGCATAGACTATCTACCTCCGTCTCCGAAGGCCCTTGCACATGCAGATTGCACAACTCCCAAGCTACTTCAGCTTCGGAGTATGAAGGCGATGGCAATAACTGCTGTCTCTCAGGATTTGGCACACTTGGAGAGGAAGTGTAAAGAGCCAGGTCAGTACCCAACATTCGTTCAGACTCTTCATCGCAAGTCTCGGTTGTCGTGAAAGTATCTTGCAGAAGGAAAGTGCCGGCAGGGTTCCGGGAATCGATAGTCGATGGTTTTCCTGCATCAAACACTCCGAAATTCTCTACGTGAATACCCACGTCATCGCTTAAGCTGGTTGCTGACGATGGTTCTACAGAGTCAATGAGTTTGAGGATCCCCTCGACTTGACTCCATGTTAGAACTTGTTGACTGAGTGCTACGTAATTCTTAGTACCACGTATAAGAGTGTTTACGGTGATCAGAAAGCCTACAAATTGGAACTTGTCGCCTCCGAGATCTGAAGGCCGATGCATCGTTGGCCAGTTCGATATCAGACAAGTTCAAATCTGATGGGACCGTAGTCTCAGGATGCAGCCATTGAAGCCGAACACCATAACCTTGGCAGTCAAGTCCCCGTACTTTGCACGAAGAACAGTGTGGTTTGCCCTCGTCGCACTTGACTTTTCTTGAGCGGCATGTCCAGCAACCAGTGAAAGTCTTGGTCCGTCTTCGGGCAAGATACGTCGCAGACCTCGGAGAAGACATCGGTCAGGTCGAGGTTGCCAGACAGAGATCGAGTTGCTGGCTTCTCCTACGCATGTGTGAAACAGGAAGCTGGGAGCGAGAGCAGCGGGTGACTGGACCCCATCCGACCAACCTTGTAATCTGTTGCTTTCCCGGAAGGCCCTGGTTTTGGAGATAAACACGGGGCCCCGGAGAGAGTCCCGGAAGAGATACGGATAAGCTTATCACTCTTGGTCAAGCGGGCGCCGATTGGAGTGGAGACAATGATAAGGCAGGTAGGAGTAGATCCCGCGATGGAAGGCCACAGCGAAGCTAGCAGTTAGTCGCAGTTGATTACCCAATGCAACATGATCAGGTCGATCGTCAAGGACGTCAGGTTGTGCTTGGAATTAGGGCAATGTTCATTTTCGTAAAGACAACTCCGATCAAGGCATAATCTGCTGGATAAGAAGCGTCGTAAACGAGCTGACCGAACTCCATTGTAAGATACGCAAAATCGCGTCTAGTTCACCGCTGCAGTCAAGTGCGAGGACGAGTATTCTGTGTTCCAAGCACAGGCTTCACCACGACCATGTCGACAACTACCACCATGACAGCTGCACCTAGCCAAACTATCACAAAACCATCAGAAACCCTGGCAACACCGCTAGTGGTCGAAAAGCCTGTGGAAAAATCGGGAGTGACTGCCCTATCGACAGGAGGCTACGAGTTTCCTGGCATCCCGAAAATCGCAGACCCGTACAAGAAGAGACACTGGCAGCTTGAGCACATGGCTGGCGCTTTCAGAGTATTTGCGCGTAAAGGATTTACCGAAGGAACTAGTGGGCATATCAGCGTTCGCGACCCGGTAGACCCGAATACTTTCTGGATCAACCCGTGAGAGTCCATGTCCCTAAGAAATCGTCAATATCTCGAAATCTTTGCTTCTAACACCGGTTCAGGCTTGGGAAACACTTCGGTATGCTCAAAGCTAGTGATATGGTTCAGATTGACGAAGAAGGCCAAGTCATCGGCGGAAACAGGGCAGCTGTTAACGCAGCAGGCTTCATGATCCACAGCGCCATTCACAAAGCTCGCCCTGACATCCATGCGGCCTGTCATACACATTCGCCAGCCGGGAAAGCCTGGTCAACGTTCGGAAAACCACTTGACATCATCAGTCAAGACACTTGCAACTTTTGGGGAAATCAGGCGGTGTACAGGTCTTTTGGTGGTGTTGTTTTGGAAGCAGACGAAAGCCAAAAGATCGCGGAGTCTCTGGGTGAAAAGGGCCGCGTCATTGTCCTTCAGAATCATGGCCTGTTAACGACTGGAGGCACGGTTGATGAGGCAGCGTATCTTTTCACGTTGATGGAGAAGTCATGCGAGGTTCAGATTATGGTGGAAAGCACAGGTCTCCCCAAGAATATCATTGGGGAAAAGGAGGCCGAGTCCACAGCCAAAGTTAATGCTGATCCAGTACGTCAAAGAAGCTTGTGTGGTACTTAACCTCGACGAGATTGGCTGAAGGCTAACTCCGATTAAACGCATAGGAGACATTATACACGGAGTTTCAACCCGACTTCGAGTATGAAATCTGGAGGTCGCGTGGAGAGCTGTGTAAAGGAGAGTAAAGGTCATGTCCGAGTCTTTAGTGCCTCTCGAGTTTCACGTGTGCTCAATTATACTGTTTCCAGCCAGCCTTGAAAATTTTTGATTGGTGGTGCACCTATTTTGATTTGAGACGGCGTATGACTATTGACATTGTGTTTTCCGAATAATATGAAGCAAAGTTCATCTCCAGGTGTTACGCGGGCTTGCATTGGATGCCGTATTTTCTCCTGGTAAAAGCGAATGACTTCTTTGTTCTTTGACATCCTGAAGCTCCCTGTCCGGATAAAAGTCGTTGTATCATGTGTTGCGTACGTCTATCGCGATGAAGGCTCTGTAACCCTACTACTCATGCTTTCCCTGTCAATATCTTCCGGTGGACCTCCACCCAGTTCTTCTCTAGTTCGCCTTTTACAACGCCCACGAGGAAACGGGAGCAGTGAGCGTCCACAACCTCTTCTAACTCCAGACTTCCGTCGCTCCCCTTGCGAACACGCCACCGCGTTTCCAAAAGGACGCTCATGGGGCAGTGAATTTTGACGAAACTTCCATCCGGGGTAAAGGTAAACTCGTACTCGCTGACACTCTTCTTCTCGAGCATGCCTTTGGGCAGGGCCTTTGGGAGGTTGGTAGGCACCGTATCCGTGATGGTGTAGCACTCAGTGACCGCTATGGAATCAACATCGTCGGGAACAGTGGGGGGCACCTTGGGCGTGCGGGGCGTCCAGTGTGTCAAATTGGGGTCGCTCTTGATATGGACTTCCGCATTGTGAAGGTGGGAGAGGACCTCCTCGCGGGTCATGTAGTCGGGAATCGGTGTGACATGAGTCAACTGGAATGAGGTGGTAAGCATTTTGATCGTGTAGGTCGCTGTCGATGCCGGTATCTCTCTGCAATAAATCAAGTTGCCTCGAAAACAGTCTAGAGGTGCCTCGAAAGAGAAGTCTACAAATCGAGTTTAGCTGAGGACTGGGAGTGAACAAAGCCGCTCTCATCGATGACCTGAGATGCGTCGTACAAGCTGAGTATTTGAACTGCTGACCACATTTATGTAAAAGAAAATCCCATCGATAAGCGCAACATCCAATGTCAAACTCGCAACCTCCAAGGCCGTTGGTCGAAGTCAAAAGAGGCATGATACATCTAACGTGTCAAATCTGGCTTACCCAGAATCCCGAGTCCATCGCACTGGATTGATTAACAGTGGTAGCTTTTCCAATTCATACCCTGTAGTTCCCCCACAAACCGAGGTTACCGAGCACCCATCAACAAAAGCCAGGCATTATCTGTAGATGCTTGGCTATTGCGACAAACACCACGGTACCAATGCTTCGGAAGGGGAAACTTTAATTGACTGGGCCAGTGAGAAGATCGGCCGATTGTGAATGGATGAAGCTTGTATGCTATGCCGGTGGGCGAAACACCAGGCTGATGCACAGAGGCCGGCACCGCGCGACAGCGCTCTCGTCCCTTGTCTGAGCGGCATGGTCTTCTAGAACGGCGACAATGCAGAGGCCCGACGCCGCTACATTGAACGCCATGAGCTGTTGGTGGTGGTCTTTTGAGCCAGATCCCAGCATTCGGGGCTGATACCACGCTTCTTATAAGTCAGCGTGCAGCAATAGTAATATGAACCGGTAGTAGAACCCGTTATCTCAGATTATAACGTCAATGGAGATAATGTTCACTTCTATTTCAGTAGCTAAGTCAGATGTTTTGTATGGGCACAGCGCTCAAAGACATCTTCAGGTTCGTGTAATATCATCGAGCTTATGAACCAAGAGAAACGTGAGGAAACTAGAGGCGTGATATCAGACCGCCTTGAAGGCTTTTCACAACCTCCACAGCCGCCCGCTCTCCACTTCTTACAGCGCCCTCCATGTATCCCTTCCATTCACCTGCGGTTTCCGTCCCCGCGAAATGGATATCACGATACGGCTCCCGAAGCCCATCTCCACCGAGCGTGTCAAGAACTCCAGGAGTGAGTGACGTGCAAGGGCATCCCAATCCCGAAAACTCATCGGTGACCCATTCGTAGAATACCATCTGCTTGAAGAGCTGACGAATATTCTCAACGCCATATAATTGACTCAGTTGCTCTAGTAGGCTGCTCTCTCGCTCGGTGATTGTCGTTGCCGCCCATGCCTTGCCAGGCTCGCCAGCCATGAAGCACGTCAGTACGAACTTCTTGTCTGCCGGACTGCTCGTGTCACGAATTACAGAAGCAGGGCCGACGAAAGATTGAGCCAAGCCGCAATATCCCTTCTCGACCCAGAACGGGGTGCTGAACTCCATCATAGCTTTCGTGTAGTATCCGTATGTTTGTGACTCGATCCAGGCCAGCTTCGTATGGGGTAGCGCTGGCTGAAATGAAATCGACTTGAGGACGGGACCAGGTACAGTCGTAATGACCTTTTGCGCTGAGTAGACCTTACCGCCGGCCTCGACTTTAACTGAGCGATTCTCGTTCTGTACAACAGCCTGAACGGGGCTAGAGAGACGGACGATTCCTTCAGGCAATGATGAAGCCAGCCCTTTAGAGAAGAGCTGCGTGCCTTGGCGGACCCGGAGATACTGTCCTCCATCTTTTCTATCCGATCGCATCTGCAGCAGTCCACCGCCCGACTTGCAATAGTTCAGGAAGTACAGTGCGGAGATGTCCTTTGGCTCTTGGCCCAACATGGCCCGTGTCCAGACTGTGGCTGTGGCTAAAGCAACATTATCGGCACTTCGAGATTTGAGATAAGCCTCGAATGTGAGAGAGTCGAGAGATGTGTCCCGTGGTCTGAAAACGTCGAGGGCTTGGCAGTCTGCTTCTGCCATGTCCCTGATCTGGGCTAGATGATCGCGCGTCGATTCACTGAACTATATCCATGACCAACATGTGAGAAATGCTCATATCTGACGGGGTGTTTTCGAAACCGACCTTGGGCAGCTCCCCGTACGGGAAAGGGCTGCATTTGCCATCGAAATCTTGAAGAACGCAGTTACCGTTGGTGTTCTGCTCGATCAACTCAGCGCCATATCTCTTCGCAAGTTCATACATCCTGCTTTGATTCGTGTCATTGATCCACGCCGCGCCGAGGTCGAACACGCCGTTGTCCCTGCCATCCTCCATCGGTTGACTCCACGTCTTGCCGCCCACACGATCTCGGGCCTCCAACACAACGCAGCTTAGCCCAGCCCGTCGGACCTCATGAGCGGCAGAAAGACCCGCCAATCCCGCACCGATAATGACAACATCGACACTCTCCTGCACCGATTGAAGGCTTCGAGGAACTGAGGGTGTTTCTGGTCGGGCGACCACGGCGTTGATCTCGATCAGCCAGCCCGACACCGCCAATCTTTGTACAGGAACGAGTGTCATTGCGGGGCGGTGCGTTCCCAGGAACCGCTGGACGTGGCGGGCATGTTGGCGGTTAGAGGCATCGTAGTCCACAATGTAGAGAGTCAAACTCGCAATGTTGGATACCGTCGATCCGGCAGCTATGATGACTTTGCGTAGGTTGAGCAGCGCGAGGTGAATTTGGGAGTCGTAGTCTGACGGCACCTTGCCATCTTTGGTGTTGCCGGGCAAGCCTGATACGTGCACCAGGGAACCAGCACGAGTGATTGTGGCTGGGGCGTAGTACGCCGTAGACGTGTTCGAGAGGTCGATGGTTTCGATGAGTTTGGTCATATTGATTGCCTGGGAAGAGACACGTTGCTTGCGTATGGTCCAGCTAGGGTGAGTTGGACTTGCTCTACAAAGATTGATCACCGTCCCGAAAGGCGCTGGCGATGGTCTATGTCGTCTTTGGGTGGCTTCAAAATTATCGCTTTCAACAGGCAATTGTTCTAAGACAAGAGATCAGTATCAACCTTTCAGAAGGAAATACGAAAGTGATATGATGGTCGCGATACCGGACGTTGATTCAACTCATGGGCTGTCCCATTCCGTTGGCGTCTGGATTAGGCATCCGACAGCGATCGCAGACCCCGCTCAGTTGCGATCGCTCAGTTGCGATCGCTCAGTTGGCCAGGGCTTGACCACAATGATGTGTTGCAGCCTAGGACTGCCCTATCAACACGGCGACCCTCGGCCCCTCCCCCAAAAATACGTCCACCACTTCAGCCAAACCCCACAAGGGGACATGAGCAAGGTTACGGGTGCTACGGTGTCTCTATTCCGGTGGGGAAATTTCTTCTGATCGGATATCATAGCCGGTTGCCCGCGGGCGTCGTTATCTAGGTACTGCGTAATACCTTACCCTTACATATCTACGGAGTGCGGCACCGAAAAAGCCCGGCATTCAAGAGAGATGGACAATCAAGAGGCACTCTAACGATACCAAGTCACTGAACTCTAGTCTATCTTGACGGGTTCTTACCTCCTAAAGTTTAAGCCATGTTGTTGATATGTCGGCTACAGTGAGGTGGGAGTGTTGCCATTGGCCTTTCAGTGTCAACGTTCATGGAAACAGAACGGTTTGTAAGGCCGACGGATGTGGCCCAAAGATTCTGATGCCATGAGCGACGCAACTCAACACAATTCTCGCGCTTTCCTAGACGGCTTTGATTGAAGTTCTTTACCTCAGTCGCCCGCTACCTCGAAACATACAACGTAACCGCCTTTTATGTACACACAAGTACCAAGAAACTGAGAGGGCATGTGTTGATTGTGGAATATTTAAGTCTATCTATCCAAGCCCCTTGATCAAGTGGAAAGTTTAGCATCTAAGTCTACTCATTTATGCGCCGATGCCTCGACAACTCCTTGCGTCTAGTCTAGATAAGAGCGAAAATCTATTCCTTCAAGATGCGATCAACCAGCTTAGTTGCCTGTAGCACTTCTTCATCTTGGAAGTGTTTTCCGACAAGCTGTAAACAAATTGGCATGTCGTGGAAAAGGTCGGCATCATCTAAATAACGTCACACCGTCAGCACATGGGACGCGACAACTGAAGGAGCTTGAGTGAGCTAGGGGCGGTGACTTACAGGCCTTCCATTCTTTAGCATCATAGTCATTCCGAGGCGTGTAATCTTCCTCGGGCTTGTCAATGGCTTTGTCAACCTTCAGTCCGCTCGGCAAGATGGCTGCTGGTTGGTCTAGCACGTTCCAAATGGCCGTGTAATTCCAGTACTCGGCGCCGCCTTGCAACACACCCGCACCAACGTATGCAGGACATAGTATGACATCGACGCCTCTGTGCTTCATCAGAGCATGATAGTCTCGTCGATATTCCTCTCTTCTATAGTTGAGGTTCCAGTTCTCTGCGACTGTAAGTGGTTCGGCTTTTGAGAATCTGAAAGCATGCTCGGTAAGTGGGAGGACCGGCTCGCCACTTTCGGCGAATGTGTCGAGGTACGGCTTTGGCCCTTGGGGGAAATACAACGAGGACTGATTCTGGTTAGTCGAGATAAACCTTGCAGAACCTATTCTACAGATACCTGAGAAAGAGGGTCTAGGCAGGTAAAGAAGAAAGAAGAAAGAGAAAGGAAAGGAAAAATGGAATGGCGCTTACTACTATTTCCCAGCCGCGCTGGTGGTCAAAGGGTTCCCAGTCTACCACTTTCACACCTGACTGTTTCAATTTTTCCGCTGCTGAACGAAGAGCCCGTAGGACCGGCGGATGTGGTTTGACGAAACTTCGACCCGTTCAAGTCAGTTATAAAGACATTAGAAGACAGGGGAAGGGACATACCCATCGTCCAACATAATTCCCACCGTGATCTCTTTCTTGGGATTGACAGGTCTCCATGGCACTGGAACCAACATAGTCTCAGTATCCCACGGTTCAGCTGCAAGAACAGCACTCATGAACAGTTCCAGATCATCAACGCTCTGGCCCAAGGGTCCAACCACACCCCGGATACTCTCTTGTCCAGATGTGATACCAAAATTTCCAAGGTTTGGCACACGCAGAGCCGTCGGTCGAAGTCCATAACAACCATTGAAGGCGGCAGGGATGCGTATACTCCCGCCAATATCTGTGCCCACGCCAATCACTGAGCATTTCGCGCCGACTGATACTCCTTCACCACCGGATGATCCTCCGGGCGAGCAAAGAAGGTTGCGTGGGTTCCTAGTTAGCCCGGTGATATTATTATTGCAGTCCAGATGCTGTGGAGCAAAGAATGTTAACTTATTTCCAACCTCTCAAGTTTATTGTCACAGAAAAGATTAGTATACCTACCATGAGACTCTGCGGTTGATTCGTTCTGACATGAATAACTGCTCCTGCCTTCTTCAAAATCTGGATGGAAAGGGCGTCTTCAAGCGGGATGTTTGTGATCTTTGATACAAACCCTGCGTGCGTGATATGGCCACCCATGCCGATGTGTTCCTATCAGTAGCGAGTCAGTAATCACACCCCTCGATGCGGGACTAGAGAGACAAAATCTACCTTGACTGATATTGGGATGCCATGAAGAGGGCCGACCAGCTGGCCTGTTTTTTGGAAGTACGCATCAAGTTCGTTGGCCTTCTGAAGGGCATCTTCTGCTAAAATCTCGGTAGCAAAGTTGGTCTGGCACGTGAAAATAATGCGTTAGCTAGAAATATCCCTACACAATGTGATTTATTCATACCAATTGATGAATCATGGTTGTTTTCTTCAGAAAAGCCGTGACAACTTGTTTTACAGTCCATTGGCCGCTCTTGTACTTTTCTAACAAGCTCGAGGCATCCTGCTCAGTCATCCGAATTTCCTCCGTGGTCAAAATTCCAGACTCGGTTGGGATATCAAGCACATTTTGACGATCTTTCGGAGGTATTTGGTCGCTTGCCAACTCATACTCCTTGAGAATTGACTTCTTCTGGATGTCGATACAGACTTGTGCGAGTTCCCGCCAGCCTTTTGGAATTGTGGTGATTGCCATTTTGGGCGAGCTTGGGAATGTTAGGGGTCGGGGATGCTGTGTAAGTTGCGTCACGTTGCACGGCACTTCAAAGCAAGACCCCAAAAACAGAAATAGAAAATACCACAAAATAGCTGGCTGGCTTCACTAATATCGTCTGCCTACTTCTACTAGTGTACGCGTTGTAAGAGGCACCCTATCTGAAGCGATAATGTCTTCCCTATCTGCCATCCCTAGATAGCGCCAAATTGAGCTCTCTCGGCCTATCGCTGTCAACTGCCAACTTGGTCCAGTGGTGGGCCTAAATCCTTCATCCCAGTGCAACATCCGGCACCCTTGTTTTTCGGGGCTCCGCTCTATGCGGGCGGTTGACGACCCAGGAACGAGGAGATGTAAGCGCATATCTTTAGGCGGATTTTGGTTGATGTTCTGCTATCGTTATCCAGGGCTCTCTACAAACATGGCGCTTTACGTTCGCGTCCCTCTCTGGCGTCGTTATCTACCAATGCTGGGTAGCTTGACTGTCAGCCATCTCCTAAAGAACGCCCAGGTCAATGTCCGAGACTGAGAACCTGGTTGTCTTATCAAAATTCCCCGCAAAGTGACGCCTTGGCCAACGCTGGCCTAGCTAATAAGTCCCATCCGTAATTCGCTTCATAACGAGATAGCTAATAGCCGTACCTCGGTGGCGGGTGTGTGCACCCAGTCTGGTTGAACCGTTCCTTGGGATCGCCATACCACATCAACGTTTCTACGAGTTACGCTGATAAGTAGCTGAAGCCGCACATCACTCCCAGATACTCAAAGAGCGCTCTTTTCTGTTCAAATACCTCCTGTGCCAGCTTAATCTGTGCGGGAACTCTGAAAGATCGACACAGCCGCAGCTTTCGAGTTTCTTTGGGGTCGACTGACCCGACAGCAACCAAATGGCTCACGACGCCCCCGCTCAGACGAATGGCGATGACCTGCCTCCTGGTACCACCAGACTTATCGACGTAGACGGCTCCGTCATCAGCAAACATGCTTCCGGATCCGATGAGGCGGACATCATTCTAATTCCCCGCCCGTCGGAAGATCCAGAGGATCCGTTGAACTGGACCAAGAAGCGAAAATGGCTCGCGACATCTTGCGTCTTAGTTTACACCGTCATGATAGCAATCCCGAGTAGTGCTGTCTATTCTGTCGTCACCCCCATCAGAAAAGCAACTGGATTGTCGCTTTCAGATATCAACAATGGCACGGGAATCATGGTGAGGAGAGTCCATATCGCAATCTTAAAGCCATGCTGACGTGTAACTCCTGCTCTAGTTCCTGTTCTATGGCTGGGGTTGTCTGATCTGGCAACCGTTTGCGCTGCAGTATGGCAAGCGACCAGCGTATCTGGCGTCTCTTATCGCCAACATTGTTAGTCCTTCGAGCGAACACAGCGTCAATGATGGAATCATTCCTAATGTGTCGGCTTCTAGATCATCCTTGCTACCGCCCCGATGTGCACCACGAAACACACATATCTGGCTAATCGCATTCTGCTTGGGCTTTTTGGGGCCCCGGTTGAATCTTTGTGCGAAATTTCTATCACAGATATCGTAGGAACCCAAGCAGGCCCCAAAGAATGCGCTTGACTGACCATCGAACAGTGGTTCGCGCACCAGCGCCCCAAATACCTTGCACTCTATGGGTGGGGCCTTTCAATGACGGGCAAGCTTGCCCCGATGCTTTCGGGCTTCATCAACGTGGGCATGGGTTGGAAATGGACTCTCGTAAGTCATGTTCTCTTACGGCCTTTAGCCCCTATCCCTCCCTGCTGTATCTAACTAATTCTTGCCTACCAAAGTGGTGGTGTTCTATATTCAACGGCATTGCTCTCGTCTACTGCTTCCTTTTCATGGAGGAGACCAACTATGATCGTCCCGCGCGGCCTGTCGAAGACAGCACACCCACAGGTCATGCAACCGGAGTTCGAGAGCAGCACAACGGGAGCGATGCGGACGAGAAGTCGTCTGATAAGGCGGACGAGAAAAACATGACAAATGCCAAACCTGTTGATACCGAAACTGGGCAGATGATCTATCCTCGCAAGACTTATATCCAGAAGCTCAGTATCAAAGACAAGGCTAGGCCCAACCGCATGTTGGATATTGCACTTGGTGGACTTAGAGGTTTCACATACCCCTCAGTCGTTTACGCAGGGTGGGAATCTTCTTCCTATCATGAGATGAATCTGATAGCTAACTTGTGCTTAGTCTGATGTACGGTGCCAACAATTTGGTATGGTCGGGTGTGCAGAACGCTACGGCTGGTACTGTATACACCACGATGTACGGCTTCTCTACTGCCGGTGTAGCAGCAGCTTATGCCGGAGGCTTACTCGGTACTATGGTTGGGTAAGTGTTTCCTAGATACTCCTCAAGAGGGAAAGGAAGAGATCGTTGACTTATGCATCCTGGCAGAGGCTACTACTGCGGCAAGGTCGGTCGGCTGCTCACGATCCGCCTCGCCCGACGCAACAATGGAATCTCCGAGTCGGAACACTCCCTCTGGCTCTTCTCCGCATCAATGTTTCTGGTACCATTCAGCATGCTCCTATACGGCCTGGGTGTGACCTACCACATTCACTGGATGGGTCTCGTCATCTCCCAGTTCACCCTCGCCATCAACAACGCCCTTGCTGTGGCGGGATCACTCGGATATGCCATCGCGTCGTATCCGCAGCTTAGCGGTGACATGATCACCACATGCGTCATCATCCGCAACACCATGTCGTTTGCAATCAACTATGGAATCACTCCTTGGCTAAACCATATGGGATATCGCGATACCTACATCATCGTTGCCGCGATCGGATTCGTCTGGAATGCTAGTATCTTCGTCATGACCAAGTATGGTAGGACTATCAGAGAGAATAGTGCGAACAGATACTGGCGTCATGTTGCCAAAGCGCATGCTAAAGGCCTCAGTCACTGACATGCGGTGCAAATACGATGCCTGCCGTCCATTTTCGTTGAATTAGTACCATAGGATGGAAACAGATCTGCAGCATTATATACTTTAGTTGCTGTCTCCTAATCATCTTTCACTTTCACTGTATGTTGGCAATTGAACACAAAGACTTTTGCCCACAACCCTTGATTACACCGCACAAGTCCTCTCGATAGCACTCATCACCACAGACTCTCTAGGAATGTCCTCGGTGCGCTTAGTCCAGACTCCTTCTAGATCATCGAGAATCCTTTGAATTTCTCCATACCCCATACGTTCTACCATTTGCGTCAGAACACGCCGGATCAACGAGATATCCTCAGACGAGGTAACAGAGTAACCAAGTATCAACATCGGCCAAGCCCCCAAGAAGCACCGCGTCCACGTTTCATAGGCGGCTGGTCGACGAAGAATCTCAAAGGCACGCTGCACTTGCCATCTTGGTGCACTTCGCATTGGATGTAAAGGGTTCCAGCTGTTCTGCGTAGTTCTTGGGACCTGTGGCCATAAAGTGTGGTTGGCGAGTGAAAACTCTGCGATGTAGTCTAGGAGCAGCGAAGCGCCCAAAACGAAAAGAGTACCAGCGTCTTTGTGAAAGCTCGTCATGGACAAAGGGCAGCTGGCTCCTTCATCTTCTACCAGTACGAGGCCTTCCCATGTTTTCATCTCCTCTCTCATCCGAATCAGAAACGCTTCAGTCGGATGCTTGGGTGAGTTGAGGACGTCAATGAGGTCCGTTATGAGACGATATAGCGGCAGTGGTAAGCCCAGTACGGGGCTATCACCTTCGGATAATATGTCGATGAGTTTCCTTGCGTTGAGAACATGTTCGGATCGATCGAGGAATTGTTCATCCACATGAAAGTTGGGAGCGAATGGCTTTCGCATAGCAAGCAGGAATGCTTGATAAAGCACGCTCTCCGTATTAATTCGATGTAGAGGTCTCGACATTGACATGGGTGAGCAGGTGTCTTCGTATCTAAGCTTGAGTAGGTTCATAGCGCCGTCGACATGCTTCCTCGCGTCTAAAGTCTCGTCGGGCGGCCCCCACATCTTTCAAATTAATGAGATCGGGTTGGGATTTGAGACTCAGTAACAACGGGATACTTACATCGTATAAGTAAAGATACACAACGGTGGTCAGCAGCGGATCGTCAGGCCCCTTGGCGGATGCACCCAAGTCATGAAGAGCACGATTGACCAGTTCCACGGCACGGAAGTAGTACCCCAGTGCCGCATCATGATACCTCCTTGACCTCAGGAGCATGTACTTATTAGAAGCACACGCAGCTAGGACAGCGCACTTTACGCTTTCAGAGCAAAGCATCATGCTCATCACCTGCGATCCATAGCCCTCCAGGTCTCTTTCTCTCACTGTGGGGAGTAAGAGTACGGAGAGGAATATGTTGAAGTAGTGGTGGGTCAGCTCCTGTTCGAGATCCGGCAGCTCTCTTAATTCCAGAGAGATGATGGATTCTTTGCTGCAGGAAGACGGTGAAGGCAAGGTCCTGTCATCAGAGAAGGATCGACGAGATCGGTGACGTCTATCGTACATGTCGTCGGAGGACGGCCACGTGCAACCACGTCCTGAAGCAACGCAGGCGCGGCATACTGGTTTCTCCTCGCCGCATTTCACTCTTCTCTTCCTGCCTGCTATGTATCAGCAACGTTCCTGATGTCGAATAGGCGAATCGAACTGACTCACAGGTCGAGCACCCGGTCTTCGTTCGCAATTTGGCTTTGGGCATGTTGATGCACGTGTAATAAACATGTATTGAGGCGCTGAAATCAGCAATCGGTAGTGACGAAGCAGATATGCCAGCTGCGAAGCAAGGCTGCCTACTTCAAAGACCCAACCAAAAGGGATACGCAGGATCGGCATGTCTTATCATAGGAAAAATGGTGCACAGCCCCGCACGAACATCGTCCTAACATCCATGGTGGGCCGGCTTATCGTATTACTTGGAGTACATACCATACCTTTGCGGGGTTGGTTGCACATATCTACAACCTAGAACCTTGCACACCATTTGAGTTCGTCTGCGGCATGTATGGCAAGCATTCTAGGCAGTTGCTTTAGTGAAATCGCCTTCTTACACACCAATACGTATGGTTCAACAATCTAGATGATGACTTTGAGGGCTAGTCGGCCGCCGTGTTGAGTACAAATTTTCATCGCGACCTCGCGAAGTTTGGCACAGAAATCTGCCCGCGAACTATACCGCAATGGTCCAAATCTAGGTGCCTACAAAGGGGCCTATGTTCCGTTGATGAGAGAAAACCATACGGCCAGTAATGAATCAAGATTATCCAATTATTCAAGTGGATTTTCAAGGCTTGAAAATATTGAGATATTACAAAATAAGGGCCAAGTTCACCTCAATTTTGTATGATCTTCGTTACCAAATCTGCTGCAGCCACCGTCTCCTCGTCCCGGAAGTGCTTGCCAGCGAGCTGGAGAGCGATCGGGGCATCGACAAACGCTTCGGGAATATCTGATTTTTTTTGGTAAATATCATATGCTCAATCGAGAAACCATAGCCACGGGACGTGGTGTAAACTTACATTTCTTGTACTCTCTCTCATCTGTTGCTGATCGAGGCTTGTAGTTGGCATCAACTACGTCAACCTTGGGGTCGACATGAAGACCAGTCGGGAAAGTGATGCTTGGTTGATCCAGAATATTCCAGATAGTCGTGTAATGCCAGTATTGAGGAGTGCCGCACTTTGCAGCCACGCCGACATAGGCGGGGCAAAGGATGAAATCGACGCCGCGATCTTTCATCACCTTATGATACCTGAGTGCCAACGGTGTCAGCTATGAGCCAAGCAGATGGATATGGTTTCCCTTACTCTTCACGGAAAGCTTCTCTCCGTAAGTTCAGTTCCCAATTCTCTCTGATGGTGAGCGGCTCCGGCTTTGAGTAGTGGAACGCCCACTCCGTTAATGGTGCTACCGGCTCGCCCCCTTCTGCAAGGACTTCCTTCTGTGTCTCGGCTGCGTCTGGGAAGTAGAGAAGCTCGATTATCTCGGCTCCTTCGCCATGTTTGTACGGCTCAAAGTCTACGACCTTCACCCCAGCTGCCTTAAGTTTGTCAACCGCGTACTTGAGGCCACGGGTAACTGGCGGATGAGGATGAACCATTCTGTACAGCTACCGTTAGTGGAAACTTCGAAAGCATGCATCCAAATCCCAAAATCACTTACCCATCGTCCCAAATAACACCAACAGTAAATTGGCCTGGTTGATATGGCTCCATCTTCTTCCAGGGCAGGGGAACCAGAGAGGTCTCTTCGTCCCAAGGCTCTTGGTTAAGTACAACATCTTCAAAGAGCTGAATATCCGAGATGCTGTTTGCCAAGGGGCCCAAGATACACTTGATGCTCTCTTGGCCTAGGCCCGGCAGACAAATGCCTTTGTATGGATTGCGCAGAGCCGTTGTTCGAAGACCATAGCAGCCGCAAAAGGCCGCCGGCCCACGAACGGAGCCCCCGATATCAGTCCCGAGTCCCAAGACAGAGCCACGGAGTCCGAGGCATGCTCCTTCGCCACCACTGGAGCCGCCCGATGTGAGATTGCGGTTGTAAGGGTTGACTGTCGTGCCGTAAATGGGATTGCTGCAGTCGAGGTGCTGTAGTACGACCAGTCAGTCCGGTTGTCTCGGAAATCATGAACGACGTGGCTTACCATGCAACTTTGTGGGACATTGGTGCGGACATGGAAGACAGCACCCGCTTTCGCAGCCAGCCGAAGAACTAGAGCGTCTTCTTGGGCAATGTTGTCCGCCCAAGCCACGTAGGCCGAATGCACAATCTTCCCTTTGAGTCCAATATGCTCTTTAATAGAAATCGGCAGACCATGCAGCGGTCCAACAATCTTTCCAGTCTCCTGGAATTCCGCATCGAGCTTTGCAGCAGCAGCTAACGCTTCATCGACCAAGAACTCGGTCGCGAAGTTGGTCAGCTGATGAGCCACATGAGCGCGCTTCAGAAACGCTGTAACTGTCTCAACGGCGGTAAGCTTGCCAGCAGCCATCCGGCTTACTAGCTCAGTGCCGCTACAGGCTGTAATCTCCTGCTCCTGTGGGGTCAACAGCTTGCACGTGTCGATGAACTTGGAGATGTTCAGCTGGCTTGGGGAAGGCAGGTCTTCCGGAGCCAAGAGCCATTTCGGATTGAGAGAGTCTTTGAGGATCTTCCTCAACTTATCGGCCTTGAGTTCCCACGAAGCTGGTGCAAGCGAACCCATGATTATTGATACACTGGGAAAGAGACTAGGATAAAATGATGGAAGTTGATGGTAAAAGAGGGTGCGCCGGAGGAGACAACCATCAGACGTTGGATATAATTGGGATAATGTTTTTATCAATATTTCTATTCCAAGGACTGGGGGAGGGGATAATCAAGAACCCGGCCATCCCCCGTTGACTGAAGATTGGAACTTATTCAACTTCGCATGCGTATCGGTCAATGACTTATCGCCGCTGATTGTGACGACAGCGTACATAATCTGTTGGAGTCCTGTAATGAGTTCCCCTCATTAATGCAGCTTCGTTTTTCTCGACCCAAGGTAAATACATGGCTAAAACAGGTACTAGTAGGCAGGACTTGACGCCGGAACCTCTCTTGAGATACCGTAGTTGGAGTAATCCCTCGGCATGCTCTGCCGATCTGGTGCCATTCTATTGTTGTCGCAACAATTCTTTGTTGTCGTTGGTGTCTCCTCAAGGATCAGATTATCATCCCAACAAGAGGACGGGTGTGATCCGTGCCTTATCAGAGTTGGCTCCTCTCGATCCCTCGCAAATACAAGTGATTGGCTGGTTCATGGCATTTAACAGCAATCAGCCGGTGCCGAACTCTCGTAATTCTCAATCATTGGCTATTGGCTTATCCACACCAGCTTGATGCATGTCATAATCTGCTGGATCGTTGTTGAGGTAGCAGACAAGAAAGGCAGAATTTATCCTCACAATCATCATTTGGTGCATCTGTAACCCTGTAGCAGTGTCACTTCGACAGTGCCGGGCGCAGCATGATTGCTGGGCGCGCAGAGATCAAGTCCATTTACCCCATCGTCAAGTCACCCATACTTGGTATGGTGGAGATTACCCCAGACTTAAGGGCCGACCCATATGAGATAAGTTCGTAATTACATATGATTGGCCCCATTCAAGAAAGTCACGGCCGCCGAGTCCACCATGGCCCCTTTACTTACCACCATGCCTCCCATGTGCTTTATCAAGAGAATGCCTATCTTGTCACATTGAAACTTGGAACATGTAGTCAAAGTCTGATATCACCGTTCCGGAATTACTTCTCGGCTTCATTTCCGTCATTGCTATCAATCTCTATATGGGCAGAAGATAGATAGAACTCATTGTCTCTCCTACATATTGCCCACCATTACTCCCTTCTCGCAACTCTTTGGTACACTCATTCTATGCCCCACGGACCACCCAGGCTTTTCCACAAATTTCTCTTTGAACATCGACCATGGGCTCTGGCATGGTCGGAATGGCCCCGCCGCCGGGCTTCATCCCTGGAACGGTCCACTTGGTAGATCTTGAGGGTACGATGGCCTCACGGCACGCTGAGGGTAGTGGAAAAGACATCGTTCTGATTCCGACGCCATCAAATGACCCGGACGACCCCTTGAATTGGAGCCCTCGAAGAAAGTATCAGCTCCTAGCATGCATATGCGTGTGAGTCGACTCCACCTGGCAACTGATTTGCCCTCTTTAAAGCTAATCAGGCGACGTTATGATGCAGTTACTGCCTCGCCGTTGGCATCGCATCAGCCGCGATCTACTCAGTCCTTGTGCCGATATCCACCGCGACCGGTCTGACCCTCGCAGATTTGAACTCCGGAACCGGCTACATGTTTCTGGCATTTGGTTGGGGCTGTCTGATATGGCAACCGCTTGCCCAGAAGTTTGGCAAACGTCCAGTATACTTGTTTACTCTACTAGGAAGCATGGTTAGTCTTCACACTATCAGCTGGTGCTAGTCCTCGACCTGACAATAGGCAACCTAGGCCATCATGTTGTGGGCACCATATGCCACCACGGGCAGTAATTGGATTGCGAATAAAGTACTGCAGGGAGCTATCGGTGCTCCCATAGAATCTCTATGCGAGATATCCATTGCTGATGTGGTACGCCAAGCGTTCATGTATTCTTCAGATAACTATCTTAGTAGTATCCTCACCTTCTGTATCCCAACTGACCGTGCAAGCAGTGGTTCACACATGAGAGAGGCACTTACATGGGCTTCTATGCCTTGTTCTTGGTGGGAAGCAACTTCCTTGCACCAGTCATTGCTGGATTCGTCAATGACGGCCAAGGTTGGGAATGGGTCTTGGTGAGACTTTGAATTTGGAGGTTACATGCATTCGCTCCTGTGACTGACTTCAAGATGCAGTACTGGTGTGCTATCTTCTGCGGGGCTGGCTTCGTCATTTGTTTCTTCTTCATGGAAGAGACCAATTATCAACGCATGGACGTTTTGACGGCCGAACCCTACCAAGTGGACTACACACCATCAGCACTTGAGAAGGGGTCCAAAGATCCATCCGACTCAGATCGAGTAGCGCCTGTTCAGACGCCTCCCAGCCTCGTGCCGACTATGACAAAGAAGTCATACCTTGACAAGCTCAAAATGTTCAGAAAACAGGACATCAATCATCACGCTTCACTTGTAGAGATGGTGATCAGACCATTCCTCTACTTCCAATTTCCATCAATCGTATTCGCAGGCTTCATGTATGGAGCTGTTGTTTGTTATTTCAATGTTCTGAATGGCACTGCATCGTTGATCTTATCGAGCTCGCCTTACAACTTCAGATCAAGCATTGTCGGATTGTCTTACATATCCTGTTTGATCGGCGTCGGCATTGGGTAAGCAACGTCTAGCTCTCTCTCTCTCTCTCTCTCTCTCTCTCTCTCGTGCTCTCTCTCGCTTTAGTATAAGTTCTAATGGGTTACTATAGAACAGTGTACTCAGGGCTTTTTGGCGACAAGTTCGTCATCTGGAAGGCACGTCGTAACAACGGAATAATGGAACCCGAGTTCCGTTTGTGGCTCTTCACAGCACTATTGATCTGCATCCCAGGTGCTCTTCTCCTCTGGGGCGTCGGGGCCGCGCACGAAGTCCATTGGTTTGGCTTGGTTTTTGCAATGGGTGTCTTCGGTGCAGCTATCACTGCCGGCAGCCAGCTTTCGATCAGCTATTGCATCGACTGCTACAAGGAGTTGGGCGAAGATGCCATTGTCACCGTCATCCTGATCCGCAACACCATGTCTTTTGCTGTTTCCTATGGGTGAGTCGCCGTCATTAGTTCAATGTTGGAAAGAGGTGTATTTGGCTCACCGATATCAGCATAACTCCTTGGGTCGAAAACATGGGGTACCAAAACGCGTTTTTAGTTGCTGCGTTTGCTGCTTTGGCGCAGATCTCGTCGTACTTTGCCATGATCAAATGGGGTCGACAGATTCGTGCAGCGAGTGTCACCCGATATTGGAAGTACTGCCAGAAAGAGTAGAAAAAATTGAGAGCAGCAATTCTGATGCTCCGAAAGAGACTTGCATTCAAATCCTTACTCGTCTGTATTCTTAAGTAATGAGAGGTAGATTTGGGTAGACCAAAATCCGACTTATACTACGTATGAGATCCAACCTGCTCCAAGCTGATACCTTACCTCGAAGAGCATAACCTGCACACTAGCGACTGCATCCCACCATAGTCGGACAGACTTTATGAAACGCGGTAATTGTGCATTCATCAATAAAGATGTTTTAGGAAATCGCAGTGATTTTCTAGTGCTTATGTATTTCCTAGGCCCACTGGTCTCAACTGAAATCAGCAGCGCCTGCAGCTTAATAGGGGTGGGTACGTACCTAATACGAATACGAACCGCCTTTGCGCTCCAGGGCCATCAAGGAAAGCAGGGAGCTCGATGTGGACATCGCAATTACTAACATCTCGAAGGCTTGTAGGTCCAGCCGAATACGAATTCGAAAGGCTTCTTAGTTGCTATCACTCAGGTTGCTAGACTTGGCTCCAAATCACCGACGGAGTTTTGGATGTTTGCCATTGCCTACTACACATGTTTGAATTAAAAAGAATTGTCGTCGTCTTTCCTGACCGAGCTATTGAAATGGCTACTCGACTTTTGTTGTGTTGGCCCAGACGCAGTCCTTATCCTCTTCTTACTTGAAGATTTTGTTTATCATTCTACAGAATATTGACAAAACCCAGCCGCTGAAATGCCAGACTCTATTAAGGTCTTGGGCCTGTCGAGTTTGGCACCCATTGCCTTTTGTGGCCTCATCGGATTAGTCGCATCGATTCTGATCAATGCCTGCCGTCAGACGCTTTTCCACGCCAAGAGCGAACCGCCAGCTGTTTTTCATTGGATTCCTTACATTGGCAATGCTGTTTCCTATGGCATGGATCCTGTAGGGTTCTTCGTCAAGTACCGTGCGAAGGTATAGCCTACCAAAGACTCGCGCAGGAGCAGCATGAGCTATTATAAGCTTTCATTTCGCTAACCTTTGGTCAGTACGGTGATGTCTTCACTTTCACCCTTTTTGGCAGGAAAATGACCTGCTATCTGGGAATCGAGGGCAACGACTTTATTCTCAATGGAAAGCTTCAGGACATCAACGCCGAGGAGATTTACGGACCCCTCACGATTCCCGTTTTCGGAAAAGATGTCATTTACGACTGCCCTAATTCCAAGCTCATGGAACAGAAGAAGTTTGTCAAGTTTGGACTTACACAAAAGGCTCTGGAATCTCATGTTCCGTTGATTGAGAAGGAAGTGGTGGATTATATCAAGGTGAGCCCTGCATGGAAGGGGTCATCGGGTGTTGTTGATATCTCTGCCGCCATGTCTGAGATCACATTATTCACAGCAACGCGCTCGTTGCAGGGAGAAGAGGTCAGGCAAAAGCTGACGGCTGAGTTCGCGGGCTTGTACCATGATCTTGACATGGTAGGTCCCCCATATCCCCCCGTTGATATTTGGCTTCTCTAGATGCAAGTATGATACTAACAGCCTGGCCGCCTAGGGCTTCACCCCAGTCAATTTCCTCTTTCCTTGGCTACCTCTACCCCGAAACCGACGTCGCGATGCTGCCCACAACAAGATGCGAGACGTATACGAGGATATTATCATCCAACGTCGTAAGAATGGTCTCGAGCCCGACGACGAGTACGACATGCTCTGGAACCTCATGAACTCGAAATACAAGGATGGAACACCGGTGCCAGATAAAGAGGTTGCGTGCATGATGATCACGCTCCTCATGGGAGGTCAACACTCGTCATCTTCAGCCAGTGCATGGATCATGCATCGTTTAGCCGCACATCCCGACGTTGCAGAAGAGCTTTATCAAGAGCAGATACTGAATCTTGGCCATGGAGACAAAAGTCGACTCTCGCCAATGCAATATTCCGATCTAGACAAGCTGCCGCTTCTACACAATGTCGTGAAGGAGACGCTTCGCCTACATGGTTCCATCCACTCTATTCTCCGCAAGGTTATGAACCCTCTGGCCATTCCCGGAAGTCCTTATGTGGTCGGCACTGACAAAGTGCTGCTGGCCTCGCCAATGGTGACTGCCATAAGCGACGAATACTTCCCGGACGCAAAGTCCTGGAATCCTCACCGGTGGGATGAGCTACAGCCTAGCGAGAGTATCATTGATGCCAATAATGTTGTAGACTACGGCTATGGCGCAGTTTCCAAGGGTACTAGGAGTCCTTACATCCCGTTCGGGGCGGGGCGACACCGCTGCATTGGCGAGAAATTTGCATACTTGAATCTAGGTGTTATTGTCGGCACTATCGTGCGCAACTTCAAACTGGGCACCATAGATGGAAGAACAGGCATCGTGCCGCCGACGGATCACACGTCCATGTTTGCGCGTCCAGTTCAACCTGGGCTCATCCGTTGGACCCGTCGAGAGTAGAAATATTGGCGCCGAATTGATGCAATTCTGAGACCCGAACATGATGTTCTCCCTCTCTCCCTCAATGTTTGTCCCTCTCCATGAGGTGAAATAAAGGTGATTGTACATACTTTCAATCGGGATTCTAAGCGCTATTACCTGGCTATTTTATGTTGAGCGGACTGGCTTATTCGAAATACTACATGCCTTACCCCAGCTAGCAAATTTGAGTTGATCAAGATCGAGGGTACGGTATCTGAAGTCGGTTAACATAGCTACATGATGCTTGTTCTACATCCTAAATTCAGAAGATGTCTGCGGTAGAATGTTGAAGCTAATCATCGTGTCAAACTGAAGCTTTGAAGTTGGGTCTACGCAGTAAGCGAAAGACAACAAGCGCCAACACTTCATTGTTAAACCTTGTTGCGAAGCGCAAGGGCCCATCCGAGCTGGAACATGTTCCTAAAAAGGCAACATCTGGATGATCATCCGAAGCTTTGCCGACTCAGCTCTCGAGCCCTGAAACCGTTAATAATCACTGACACCCTCCATTTCAAGCCGTCAACTTACCCCAATGTCATAGTCAAGGGAGCTACTTACTTTTGCTCTTCGTTCACAGCGACCCCAACAGCACGAATCATGGCACCTCCCACTTCATCACCTGATTTTAATGGTGCAACAGAATCAGAACGGTTGCTTGGCACTCGAAGTGCAGATTCGAATATCGAGCCAACATCATCCATCAACGGACAAGACCGAGAAGCCATCGCATTGAAGCTTGCCGCGGCAGCTTACTCTTTCGTAGTCGCGGGCCTTTTCGTGGCTACAATCGGAGTTACACTACCGCACCAGCAAACATATTACCAGCTCAACGAAATTCAAGTTTCTGCCATCTTTCTCGTTGGACCAGTCGGCTACTGCTTGGCATCTCTTCTCAACAGTCGCATCCATGAGAAACTCGGGCAACGCGGAATTGCTTTCATAGGTCCCGCATGCCATCTGGTCTACGCTGTAGTAGGCTCCTTCCATCCACGTTTTCCAGTATTCCTTCTGGGAGTCACTGTAGGTTCCTTCGGAGTTGGCATAGTCGATGGATCCTGGTGTGCTTGGGTTGCTGCACTGAACAACGCGAATACCCTATCGGGTCTTTTGCATGGCTCATTCTCGATTGGAGCTGCGACTTGCCCCTACCTAGCAGGGATTATGTTGTCTACGAATAATGGACAGTGGTATCAGTGGTTCTATGTGCTGGTAAGTTTCTATCGAAGGAACCTGGACAAGGCTTGGAATCTTTCCTGGTTGGCTACTAACACGCTTTCAGGCTATTGCATCTGCTGTAGAAGTGGTCTTTCTGCCCCTGGCGTTCAGACACGAGACTGCAGCGAAGTACCATGAGAACAAGAAGAAGCAGGGAAACCCTGAAGATGGAGTAGATCAACGAGCCATCTTCCGATACAGCGCGACCTGGATATACGCTGCTTACCTTCTGGCATACGTGGGCACTGAGTGCACTGTTTCCGGCTGGGTTGTCACATTCATGCTCCGCGTCCGCCATACGAGCACTTATGCATCCAGTATTTGCTCTTCTGGCTTCTGGGCAGGCATGGCGATTGGACGACTAGCTTTGGGTGCAGTCACGGAGAAATTGACCCCAAGACGGGCAGTCATCATTTACTTGGCACTTGCTCCCACCATTGTGGTGCTTTTCATGATAGCGCAGGTTCTGTGGATCTCGGTACTTTCGATGGCACTGCTCGGCTTCGTTATGGGCCCGCTATTCCCGTCCTGCATCGTTGAGTTCGTTCATTACCTACCAAAAGAGCTTCATGTTGGTGCGGTATCGTTTGTTGCTTCCCTCGGCCAAGTCGGCGGCGCCATACTTCCATACATGCTCGGCGCTATCACCCAGGTGGTGGGGCTCCATGTGTTTCCTTACATGCTTCTCTCACAATTTGCTGTCATTCTTCTTCTGTGGCTCATATCATATAAGGTGGCAGGGAAGAAGATACTCCAAGAAGAGCCTGTGCGAATAAGACAAGACTGAGTGGTACACATACACAGAGTTCTGTATGTTTGATAGCAAGGTGACTTGGACAATAAGGTGAAGGGGTTGAGTGCGGATCAGAGACGGGGTTTCTAAATACTATTAGTATCCCTATTATAGGGTAGTTAGTTCGAACCGTAGGTTAACGAAGAGATTAATTAAACTATATAAATTTCTATATAAATATAAAAAAGAGGTTCTAATTATAAATTAAGCTAGCTATAATAATTATAAATAGGGCCCCTAATTAGCCCTTATATAGTTAGTTATATACTATAATTAAATTAGATTTTTAATTTAATACTAACTTTTTCTTTTTTTTATTAATTTATTTATTATAGTTAGAAGTATAATTCGACCTCGGGCCCGTTTACTAAGTCGTCTTTTTTTTTTTTTTTTTTTTTTTTTTTTTTTTTTATTTTTTTTTTTTTTTTTTTTTTTTTTTTTTTTTTTTTTTTTTTTTTTTTTTTTTTTTTTTTTTTTTTTTCTTTTTATATAACCTATTTCTTTATTTATATATTAACTTTTCTATTACTTACGAATTATTTTAACTTCTTATTAAGTATTACTTTTATAAAAGCGTTAGTAAGGTTATTATTATTATTAATTTAACGGATTTTAAAAATCTCGTACTTTTTATATAATTACCTAAGGGCTATAATATCGATTATAAACCTCTTTTCTTTTATTATTCCTAATTTAATAAAGTATTTATATAATAAATAAGAATTGGTATAAATAACTATTAGGATTAATAAAAAGTTAAGTTAATTAATAATCTTTTTTAGTATTATTAAAATCGTATAGGCGAAGTTAATACCGTTAATTATATTATAAACTTTTAATATTAGTATATTTTTTATTATTTATTTATTTTTAATTAAGAAGTAATAGATTATATTATTATATATAGTAAATTCGCTCTCGCTTATATTCTCGTTAGTTAGGATAATAATATATTCTAATTACGAAATAAAGTTATTATTATTTATGAATAATTTATTAATAAAAACGTAGAGCTTATTAATAGCGAGGTTAATTAAGTAATAAACGAGGCTTTAATTAAGATTTATTTATTATTACTTAAGCTACTTATTAAGTACTTTAATATCTTATTTAGCTAGATTTATAGCTTATATTATTTTAATATAGTTAAAAATTACCTCGGGCTAGTATATACTTATAATATATACCCTTTATACGAGCTTAGCTTTATATTACTTTTTAATATTAATTATATTTAAGTTAACGAGGGTAATTTTTTTACCCTACCCTTTTTATTAAAAAATAATAATTTCCTTTTTAATTATAAAAATCTTATTATTAAATATTAATAGGTTATTTATTATAAGGACCTCTTTTAGTTTAGTTATAAAGCCCGCTTTTTAAAGCTCCTTATCTTTTTTTTTTATAAAATTAATATTAAATAGGCTTAATATATCGTTAGTTTATATTTTAATAATTCTAAATTATTTACTTTTATACTTAAAAACTAATAAGTACGGGTCGTATATAAATATAATTATTAATAATTAATTAATATAAAAATCGTAGTATATAGTTTATTAATAAGTACCCGATTCTATAAGCTTATATAGTAGTTTAAGTACTTTAATAATCGTACTTTCTAAGTACTTACTAGCTATTTCTTTTAGTAAGTAGGCTAGGATTTTTTTTATAAGCCCTATAGCCGATTAAGTATAAGCTTAAGTAATATTACGGCTCTAAATCTCGTATCCCTTTTTTTATAATAATATTATTAGTATTATTATTAATCGTTAGTTATAGTACTATATTATAAGTAATTAGATAAATAGCGTCGCTTTTTTAATATTACCGTACCCCTAAATTATATATTTAAATTTCTTATATAGTTAGGGTATTCCTTTTTCCTTAATTTTATATACTATTTATAATTTAAATATATAAAAACTTTTATATTTCTTAGGGTCGTAGAGGATAAATTAATAAACCCCTCGATTATATAAAGTATTTATTTTAATAAGATCTAATCCTTTATACGGCTTTTTAGTAGTTATAATAATACTTTTTTTACGTAGTTTAACTACTAGCTTAAAATCGGCTTTTTTTTTTATTATATAAAAAGTATTAAATACCTCGTTATTAATAATAAATTATTACATTAGGGCTTACTATTATAATTTTTTATAATATCTTATTAGTAATATTAGTACCCTTTTAGTAATTTTTTTTTCCTTATCGTTTATTAATATTATTATGATAATTTTATTAAAAATAATTTCTTATACTTTTACTACGGGTTATTTTATTTCCTTTAGCTCTTTTTTTTTTATAAATTAGAAATTACTTTAATAAGATCTATATAATATAGTCTAATTATAATAATTAATATTTTAAGTAATTAGTTACGATCTTTTGTAATTACGTAAGAGCGCTCGTTAATAAAAATTAATTTATATAGCCTAGCTTATTATTAAGTAATTTCGTACTATACTTATATATCTAAATTTAGGGGTATATTTAAATTAGCCCCTATATTAAGTTTATTATATATAATAATTATTTTATTAACTTACTTTTTTATACTTACCTCGCGTAGTACTTATATTATTTTTTTAATTACTTAGGCTCGTTAGTTTATATTTAATAATAATAATAAGGCTAAAGTCGTTTTTAAATATATTCTAAATATTAATAATATTAATATAAGCTTATTAAGCCCTATAATATTATTATAGTACTTAAGTACTATTTAGAGGTATTTATCGTTAGTAAAATCGGGATTTTCTTTTTTAATAATCCTAAACGCCCTTTTTAGTTATTAATATACCCTTTTTACTTTTTTAATATTATAATACGCTTCTATAAGTACGATTTTTAACTATATATTATAAGCTATCGTATTTTCCCTAAATTCTATTAATTTAAAACTCGTATTAGCGTCGGTTTTAATACTATTTAGCGGTCCTTAGTATATATTAATCTAGCTTTTTTA